GATTCAGTATCTTGGCTGGGTCCAATGAGACAGTATTTGATGCGATTCTGGCAGACTCCACTCAACAAGTGCTAGAAAACTTGCATGTGCAAGCTCGATGGAAGGAGCGTGGCTACATTCCCCTTGGCCTTGCAGTTCTGAATGCTCGAGTAAATATGGGAAATCAATCTTCAGAAGCCTTCCTTGATGACTTGCTTACGTTGGATTTGTATGATTCAGAATTGCTTCTTGTTGTGTTTAGGGGTGCTTCACAGCCTGAGTGCTACCAACTTGAAAAGGCTTGCAATTCCGGCTGCGGAAGCAGTGCAGACGGCAAGCGGAAACCAACACCTGTTTGCTTGAAAGCCTTGTCCGAGAACAAGAAGAAGGGATGTCAATATTGTGTGGTCCCAGTAGAAAAAGTTGGAGTCAGCCTTCAAGATGAAGCAACTTCTTTGGTCCATGCTGCAATTCGTCAACATGTGGCAGAGGCTCTGGAAAATACGCACAGCTCAAGGTCTGGCACTGCTTCTGAACAAGTTCCGAAAGCACAAATGCTTGTGAAGTCGGTGCCAGCTGATGGGATGTGCTTCTTCCATTGTGTGACGTCTTCGATCAACTTTGAATCATACAGCAAGGTCCCAAGACGCAAAGGTGGTTATGCCACAAATGTTCGGCAAGTTGCTTTGGAGGAGAAAAAACGCTCACCGTCTCATGCAATCGGTTCTTGAGAAGGTGGACTATTCCTGTGAGAAGGATGCTGCTTGTGCTGCCCAATTGGTTGCTGGCAAGGGTGTCATCGATTTGGAGCTTATACCGTTCATAACACGAATGCTGGGTTTGGGCATCCGTTGCACGATTGCTGATGAGGAAGGGGTTGAATAAATATTCTAACTGCAAACATTTCAAGCCCACAAAAAAAGCAATTGTTTAAAGACAGATCAACATAATATCTACATAGGTGAACGTTCTTAAATCAAGACTGACTACTTACTTGGCAGGCTCTTCAGCACTTTGACACGGAGAAATCTGGTTTCTTGCCAGATGCCATCTATGGGGAGACGGACACCGTGCACGTCCACCTTCTTCTGCATTGGCAGGAGCGTGATGAATCTCCTGGAGAGTTCTATGGACACTACTCATTTCTAAAGTCAGCAAGTCCTGGCCAAGACGGAGACATCACCTTGCCAATCAAGCCACCGTGTGATAAACTGAAGTCAGCCACACCTTTGCCAAACCAGCCTGAGGCACCTCCAGAGCCACAGGCAAAGATACTGCCAGAGCCAGCAGCACATCAAGCCAGCAGCACCATAGAAACACAACAACAGCCAGCACAACCTGTGGCAGCTCCAAAGCCACAGGCAGAGATACCGGCACAAACAGAAAAGCCTGAG